AGCCCCCTAATGCCATTTGGACTTTGGAACAATAGTTTAGAACACCGTGGCCCTACGCAAGCATCATGGGTACTCTCCCCACCTTCCGCCTTTGGGTGCTCTAGCCATGGGGCTCAAGTGAGGTTTTGTTGAGCCATGCCAGGTATCTAAATAGGTAGTGTCACCTATGCTTGGACTGGGTGTATTGACAATTTGATCTCTCGAGGGAACTACAGTTGGTTTTTGAACACTTTATCAAGCTACCCCACTTGTCAATTTGTATTCACTCTAGCTTTGGACTCCTTAGTGGATATATCATCACCCAACACGTGGGCATAGCCTTACTAGGTCACATTACCCTTTTTTGGCCAAACTGGCCCCATTGGGGTCCAACCCTTACACTCTCCCTATTATACTTTTAGAACCCCCTGCACCCTAAATCCTAAATCGCTGCCTCCTTCGCCCCAGCTGTGCCACTGTCGACGGTGTTGCCATTGGTTCTGGCGGAGGTTCGCCGGCTTGTTAAGGAGGCCATGGGTGAGAAGATGTGTCCAATGGTTAAGGAGCCGTCCATGGCTGAGGAGAGCATGCTAGGTGAGGAGACACGATTGCCACTACTGCCACAACCACCATGACCGTCACCACTATCGTCACCACGACTATCACGACCATTGGCTTACTGCCATCATCCTCACCACCACCACCAGTGTAGGGGATGGGGACTTATGCTCACCACACAATCCCTGAGATGGCAAAACACACTGTGAGCACTTTGATGATGGTCACCTCCCTTGGCCTCAACCTTGAACAAAAGAAGTGTGGCCCCCTAATGCCATTTGGACTTTGGAACAACATTTCGGAACACTGTGGCCCTATGCAAGCCTCATGGGTACTCTCCCCACCTTCCGCCTTTGGGTGCTCTAGCCATGGGGCTCAAGTGAGGTTTTGTTGAGCCACACCAAGTATCTAAGTAGGCAGTGTCATCCATGCTTGGACTGGGAGTATTAACAATTTGATCTCCTAGGGGAATTATAGCTGGTTCTTGAACACTTCATCAAGCTACCCCACTTGTCAGTCTATATTTGCTCTAACTTTAGACTCCTTAATGGATATATCATCACCCAACACGTGGGCATAGCCTTCCTAGGTCACACGAACCTTTTTTGGCCAAACTGGCCCCATTGGGGTCCAACCCTTACACTCTCCCTATTATACTTTTAGAACCCCCTACACCCTAAACCCTAAACCGCTGCCTCCTCCGTCCCCAGCCCTGCCGCTGTCGACGGTGCTACTGTTGCTACCGCTAGTCCTGCCGAAAGTTCACCGGCTTGTTAAGGAGGCCATGGGTGAGAAGATGTGTCTAATGGTTGAGGAGTTGTCCATGGCTAAGAAGAGCATGCGAGGTGAAGAGACACGATTGCCACCACTTCCACAATAACCACGACCATTGCCACTGTCATCACCATGACCATCAACACTACTGCCACCGTCCTCACCACCACCACCACTGTAGGGGATGGGGACCATCACCAACATGATTAATGGATTGGTATTATCATTGTTGTTCCTGTTATGTCTAGCGCAGTAGGAACATCTATCATACTCCAAAAGATGAAAGTATGTAATTAGGTGTGTGTGTGTGAGAGAGAGAGAGATTATCTAACTTAGAGTGTAGATTGTTGCTACTACGACCACTAATCAGCAGCTCTAGCCTTGATCCAGCTGTAATCTTCTATTTTTATGAATTTTCATCTAATCACCCTAGCTCTTGTGCCTTTGTTGAGACCATAAGCTCTCGTGGATGCTCAAAACTTTGGCCAGGTCGAAGCTCCCAACAGCATAGTTCAGGGTGGTTATGCCACTTTGCACCAAGCTCTGGTGGATTGCTCTAGAGCTTCAACCTAAGCACAAGTGTTGAGAACGATCTCAAGAGTGCGATATTGAGAATGATCCTGAGAGTGAGATAGAATGTTGGCCTCACAGCGCTGGTACCTAGAGCAAGTCGAGATTGTGATGGGAGCAAGCTTCCACCATACTCACCACACAATCCTTGAGATGGCAAAACACACTGTGAGCACCTTGATGATGGTCACCTCCCTTGGCCTCAGCCTTGAACAAAAGAAGTGCAACCCCTTGATGCCATTTGGACTTTGGAACAACACTTTGGAACACCATGGCCCTACACGAGCCTCATGGGTACTCTCCCCACCTTCTACTTTTGGGTGCTCTAACCATGGGGCTCAAGTGAGGTTTTGTTGAGCCACATCAGGTATCTAAGTAGGTAGTGTCACCCATGCTTAGACTGGGAGTATTGACAATTTGATCTCCCGGGGGAATTACAGTCGGTTTTTGAACACTTCATCAAGCTACCCCGCTTCTCAGTCTGTATTCGCTCTAACTTTGGACTGCTTAATGGATATATCATCACCGAACACGTGGGCATAACCTTCCTGGGTCACACTAACCTTTCTTGGCCAAACTGGCCCCACTGGGGTCCAACCCTTACACTCTTCCTATTATACTTTTAGAACCCCTTGCACCCTAAACCCTAAACCGCTGCCTCCTCTGCTCCCGGCCCTGCTGCTGTCGACGGTGCTACTATTGCTGCCACTGGTCCTGCTGAAGGTTCGCCAGCTTGTTAAGGAGGCCATGGGTGAGAAGATGTGTCCAATAGTTGAGAAGCCGTCCATGACTGAGGAAAGCATGTTGGGTGAGGAGGCATGATTGTCACCACTGCCACAAGCACCACGATCGTCGCCACTGTCGTCACCACGACTATCGGCACCATTGCCACTGTCCTCACCACCACCACCACTGTAGGGGATGGGGACCATCACTAGCATGATCAGTGGATTGGTATCATCATTGTTGTTCCTGATATCATTGTTGTTTCATGATATTGACATGTGTAGTACTTTTTGTAACTCCAAAATTAGCACATCTAGACCTTGGACAATAGCCACCTCACTCTTCCTTGCTTCTAGGATTTGTCATATCACTTTGTGGTAGGGATCACAAAAATTCTTAGCCAAATTGTGGGAAACTAACACTCCTAGATTTTGCATGAGAAGGACCATTCCATCAAGATTCAATAGTACAACTAAAATGAACTTTTGACACGTTTAAGGTGTCATGCTAACATCGAGCTCTTTTAGAGAATGGTGAGAATACTCCACATTCATGTCCAAAAGAAGATTTTCCTTAGCAAAAAAATGTAGAAAGATTTGTCACCACCACCTCACTATTTAAGCCTTAATATGTGCCAATTGTGATCCTCTTGTGGAATCTCCCATCCAAGGAAAAATTGCTCCTTCTCATTTTCTTGATCTTGGGCATGTCCTCGTTACTTTTAAACTCCAAACATACTTACACCACCCTCTTAAGCATCTTTTCCCTTGGCATTGGCTTGAGGTACTATTATTAGTGTTTTTCCTTGGGCATGCTTTTTTTCCTTCTCAGCAATAACAACAAAACTTTACTTCTCAGATTTCACAAAAGATTCACTTGGTCATGAATTAGATCCACCATCAACCATCTTTTTGCATTCAACTCTTCAAAAAGATGCTACAATAGTATTATGTTAAAGATTATCAAAAGAAACTCAGAAGTTAATTCTTTCCCCACATGCAAGAATTGTCACACAATCTTTATAATATTAAGAAAGGTGTAATGAACAAACTTAAACCACATGACATAAAATATTTAACATATTAGCCTAGCAATACTTCCTTGATCTTTTGCCAACATAGCCTAGTTGCTCTATGCTTATTAATAGTAGCCTTATAACACAAAATATGCATGCACATGTGACCCAACATTGTAGCACATTGTAGATGCCAACATAGGATCTCCAAACATGCTCACTCCAAAGTACTCGGGAATATTAAAATAAACATAATTGTTGTTCAGATAAAAGATCCCACATCCAAATGTGAGCATGCTCCAATTTAAGTTGTAAACAACAAAACACTGTTTACTCTAGAGCACACGCCAAGAAACATTGTTAAACACAAAATCCCTCTTTCCATCACGAGTTTGTCCTTTAGAAACCCAATTAGTTAGGGTTTGTATAGGGAACGTTAACTTTTTTACTTTTTTTCAGTAAAATAAGACTTTTGAATTTTTTACCACTTTAGGGTTTATAGGGCTTATGCTCCGGGCATGGATTGGAGCTAGGTCGCGGTCGAGAGCGCTGCTCCAGCAGTGCCGACGGCTGAGCGCGCCGCCTCCTCAAATTGTGGATCCCGCCGATGGATCGCCTCCGCCTCCGCCTCCATCTCCGCCTCCTCCCGCCGTGATCGACAATGAGGAGACGAGGCGCGCCAAGCAGCGCGCGGCGGATCTCAAGGCCATCTATGAAGGTAAGATGGATTTCGAGATCGCTACCAGGGTCGCATTTGGGGAATCTAAGAATCCAAATCCCAAGGAGCTCGGGTATGTTGCTAGAGTCCTCTTTGGGAAATAAGTGTCTTCCTCTTTCTTCCAGGCTTGATTGGCACTTGTGGCAGTTCTTCGTATGCGTCGTCGTCCCGGTTTCTCGTAAGCGACCAAAGTTCTAGCTCGATTTTTCTTTGTGGCTGAGCGCTTTGATTCTCTTGTCTGGAGCAGTGATCTACATGGTGGCAATGTACGCGCGTCGAGAGATTCGAAGATTGGAGAAGGTAAGGATGGAACTTGGAGAGCTTTCTCTAACCATTTTTTTCTCTTTTCCAGGAGAGAGGGATTGAGCCACTGCCAAAGAAGACATGGGCGAATAGATACGAGATCGATCGATTGCAAAAGGAGTACCAAGCCAAACGAACAGTGAGGCGCGCGGGATTAGACGTCGAAGAGCTCAAATCTCTCAAAGGCAGGCTCGATTCGATCGATGACAAACTCGCCAAACTGGAAACGTTTTTAAATCGCCCAGCGCTTCCAGAGATACCTTCAAGTCCTCCAGCAAATCAATCAAAGTGACGAGCTTGTTTCAATCCCCACCGTCAAATTTGCCGGGCGATCTGACGGTCACGGTTTTACGTTATTAGGGTTCTTCATGGGTAGTGTTTCGTGGTTGAGGCATATTTCCAGCGCTAGGGTTTTAGGCTTGAGGATCGATCGTCGGCGTTTTTACAGCGTGATGCCGCGAGGAGAGGAATCAGCAGCTGGGGCGGAGGCATCGGCTTCGGCGGTGGAAGCATCGCCAGGTATGAGCAAGAAAGCCGCACAGAAGGCCGCGAAGAAAGCCGAGAAGGAGCTCCGCCAGGCTGCTGCGCTCGCCGCGGCTGCCGCGGAGGAGGAAGAAATTGATCCACTGGCGGACAAGTACGGGGATACGAAGCTGGAGGATTTGCAATCCAAGGCTGTGACTGGGCGGAAGTGGACCGAGATTTCGGAGCTTGGGACCGATCTGGAGGGCTCTACTGTGCTGGTTCGTGGGAGAGTTCACAGCAAGAGAGCGAAAGGGAAGATGGCATTTTTGGTGCTTCGTGAGACTATCCATACCGTGCAATGCGTGGTTTCTATGGAGAACGTCGGGAGCAAACAGTTTGTGAAGTATGCGAGCTTGCTGAGCAAAGAGTCCGTTGTGGACGTGACGGGAAATGTGTCAAATCCAAGAAATCCAGTGTCTGGGACGACACAACCGGTAAGTCTTTTTCTTTTGTCGTGAAGTCATCTTCATCGTGTTCGTGCTTTGTTCTTCACAGGTGGAAATCCAGGTGACAGAACTCCATTGTATATCTAGGTCGACCAACGAGCTCCCTCTTCTGTTGGAAGATGCCGCTCGCAGCGACCAGGATATTGAGAAAGCTGCAAAGGTGAGTCGAGTCTCTTTTCTATTGCGTGGTTTAGTTTGATTTGTTTCTCTTCAGGAAGGCATTCAATATGCACGCGTTCTACAAGACACGAGGCTGAATAACAGGGTCCTTGATCTTAGAATCCCTGCCAATCAAGCGATCTTTACCGTTCAGTCGGAAATCTCAAGCGTATGTGCTTTGTTCGTTTTGTGACGAATTGTGGCGCTGAGAAGCTTGTTATGGTTTTTTTCAGCTCTTTCACGACTTTCTACGGGCTAACAAGTTTCGCCAGATCCACACGCCAAAGCTTATCGCTGGTGCTAGCGAAGGTGGCTCTGCAGTGTTCAAGCTGCAGTACGCTAATGATCAACCTGCATGTCTGGCTCAATCACCGCAGCTGCACAAACAGATGGCAATTTGTGGTGACTTCCGTCGAGTTTTCGAGATAGGTCCTGTTTTCAGAGCCGAAAAATCTTTTACTCATCGGCACCTGTGTGAATTTATCGGGCTCGATTTTGAAATGGAGATCAAGGAACACTATTTCGAGGTAGAGTTTATTTGAACTAGACGATGGGTAACTTTTCCACTTGCAGATCATCGACCTGATTGGCAAACTCTTCATCTATGTGTTCAACGAGCTTAACAAGAACTGCAAGAAAGAGCTTGAAACGATCAACAGCCAGTATCCTTTTGAGCCATTGCAGGTTTGCTTACTTGTAAATTCAGTATAAATTGTTTCAACTGTGTACCTCTTTCAGTATCTCGACGAAACCCTGGTACTCGCATTTGCCGAGGGGATTCAGATGTTAAAGGTGATTGTTTCTATCATTGATTTTTGCAAGACCTGACGCGTGATAACAGGAAGCTGGGTTTGAGACTGATCCTCTTGGAGACCTTGACACAGAAACTGAGAGGAGACTGGGACTTCTTGTGAAGGAGAGGTGAGTAGTTTGTTTAACCCCTCTCATGCTCTTACGATTGATTCTTCTTCACAGATACAAGACTGATTTTTATATTCTTCATCGATATCCACTTGCTGTCCGGCCATTCTATACCATGCCTGCTGTCGACGATCCTAAATATTCAAACTCATTCGACGTTTTCATTCGGGGTTAGTCATCGTTGTTTCCTGTCGTTATTTGTTTGTTCTGATTGTCTTTTGTAGGCGAGGAAATCATCTCCGGTGCCCAGCGTGTTCATGACAAGGATCTTCTTCTAAAGCGGATCGAGGAGTGCAACATTGATCCAAACGCTATTGGCTTGCAGAACTACATAAATTCTTTCAGGTGAATAGCGAAAACATTAAACTTTTTGCGTGACAAATTTCCTGTTACTGGCAGCTATGGTGCACCACCTCACGGAGGCATTGGCGTCGGCTTGGAACGAGTAGCGATGCTCTTCTGCAATCTGGACAACATAAGGAAGGTCTCTTTGTTTCCTCGTGATCCTAATAGGCTGGCACCTTAGATCGAGGATAACGGTGTCCTGATAATTAGGCACCAGATTTTGCACAAGTGTTACAACCCATATTGACGCAAGGGATGAGGTTCTTCTTCTTCTTGCTGCTTCTTGTTGATCTTTCTCTTTGGAAAGACAGGAGGCCTTTCGTCCCTGAGCAGTGGTATCTTCTGTACGTTGTCGATCTTGTGAGGTACATTTTTGAACTTGGAAATGACAAATCTTTGCTTAGGCCTCGGCGGGTTCCTCCAGCAGAACCAGCGTATTATTCTCATGTCGGTGGTCTTGTTGTTCTTGACAGGGACAAAGACTGGCCTGATAACTTGGAAGTCGTGATGGTGTTGGGTATTCATCCTGATGAAATCGTTTCCATAAGCATAGCGAATGACTTCATCCATGCTGTCGCCCCTGTTTCAGGAAAAGAAGAACACGATCATATTAAGCAAAGATTGACGAAGACACCACTTTGGTTCAAACCTTTCGAGCGGTGTGCCGTAGACGTGGTCTGGATTTACTACCGATGGAAGTGGAGCAACGTTTGCCTGGTACAAAGCAAGGTTGTCATGGTGGAACTAGCAATTCGAGGTAAAGTTTACCAGTCTCTGCTTGACTTTGAGCTTGATTGGGTGCTCTCTTCGGTACATTCTCTGTTCGTCTGCCCGTGTGACTTTCCTGAGAGAAGGAAGTGGCGAAAAGAAGAAAAGTTTGAGTTTTGGAGTGTTGGATCTTACATTTTCGGAGCCTTCTTGTTCATAGCTCGCAGATCAGTGCCTTTGGCAGCGCTTGGGTCAGGGACGTTCTCTCGGAAGACCATCACTGCGAGGAACCAATACCCGAGTTAGTGTTTCCCTCATCGAGTGATCGAACAGGCCTGGACTAACTAACGTTCTTTCACTGTAGGAGAATACTCGTTGAGCACTCCATAGATGAAGTTGTCGCTGGGAAGATCCCTGGTGCATCGTTTTCCCTGGAACGAGGATTGACATGAGCAAAGCCGATGAAGAAACTTGACGCAAGATAGAGGTACCGCTCCCAGCTTCGGTTTGATGAGAATCTCATCCTTTGCAGATGAGCTCCGGACATTCCCCATTCTGGGATGATCCGACTCGTCGTAAGTCATGTTGCCTGGATTCGACATCGCGGAAGAAAGCTTGAAAGCGATCCGCCAAAGCCGACTTCTTCGACCAATCAGCTCGGCAGGCCTATCAAATTTTGAGAATGCGATAATATGCCATTGCGCGGCAACCAATTGGCGCCCACTCGTAGGCGCGTCATCCGCACCGTCCACGTGTCCAGGTGTATCGAATTCAAAGTTTGAATAAAAGAATATACCTAAAACTGACCTATCTCTGTTCAATGCTTGATATGCTATTTTGATTCTAACAATGTGGGCTGGGAGAGAGGTGTAGGGTTCTTGGATTCTTATGATCCAAGAAATGGGGAAGAGGCGGCACCGTCTCTCGCTGGGCGGCGTGATCTTCAGCGCCGGCGCCGTGGTTGCGCTCGTCGTTGTGCTGCTCGAGGTGTCGTCCGCCTCGAAGCCAAAGAAGGCGACTTCCACTCGCCAGGTGCCGATCAATTCGGGATTTCGGATCGTCCGTGAGTATCCGCACGATGCGAAGGCATTCACTCAGGTTCGATCGATCCATTTCGCTGCTGAATTTCCAGCTCAAAGAAGAATTTTTCTTTCTTTGCGATCAAAGGGGCTTTTGTACCATGGAAACAATACACTGTATGAATCCACTGGGCTGCATGGAGAGGTACGCGAAAGTTTGGTAAAGTTCGTTCTGGTTCATTTACAAGGGTTTGGTGCTAACAGTCGTCAGTACGTGAAGTTGATCTTCAAACGGGAGAGGTTTGTTTTCTTTCTTTTATCTTTTTGCAGAAAATATATGTTCCAATGTCTGTGCAGGTTAGAAGGATTTATCGTCTGCAAAGCAGGGATTTTGGAGAAGGATTGGCACTTTGGGAAAACAAGTAACCTCTTTTTAAGATTCGGTGATGGTTTTGTTAATTCTAGCAGATTTTTACAGGTTACTTGGCAAACTAACAAAGGATATATCTACGATGAGAAAACACTGAGTCTCGTAACTTTATACTGCTTCAGAGGTATATGATCACGATACTTTGCATTTCTTTCCAGCTAGGAACATTCAAGCATCCCATGACGGATGGCTGGGGATTGACGCACGACAACAAGCATATCATAGGAAGCGATGGAAGCTCCACTTTGTACTTTCTAGACCCACACAGCTTTTCAGGTTTGATGGTTTTTTCAGTGATAGATTTTGCAAGAAGAGTTGATCGCGCATTTCAGAGATAAGAAGAATCACAGTTAAGGACAATGGAGAAGCTGTGGAGCTTTTGAACGAGCTGGAGTATGTGAAAGGAGAGATCTGGGCGAATGTTTGGCAGGTACTTCGAAGCAGCGTATTCTCACTTTTCATCTTTTTCTTTTCTTTTGACTCCGCAGATGAATTCTATTGCTCGAATCTCTCCCAAGGACGGTAGAGTCGTAGGATGGATAGTTTTGGATGCACTAAGGCAAGTTGCTACCTTTTGTCGCGTTCCTGCTTAACATTTCTTATCCCGCACGCAGGAAGAATCTCATTTCTGCTGGAAACAGGGTATGAAAAGTTCCAAGTTTCTTTGTGTTTATCTCTGTTTCCTCCAGAATATAGACGTGCTAAATGGCATTGCTTGGGATGAGGAGCAAGACCGTCTCTTCGGTACGTGTTTGACACTCTTTGCACGATGCTGAATTCTTCCTTGATCGATACAGTAACTGGCAAGTGGTGGCCAAAGCTCTACGAGATCGTTCTGTCCCCGGAACTCTATTAGACACGCACAAAGTAGCACAAGCAACTGCTATGGACGGTGGTATTATCAATGTACAATTCTTTCCAATTTTATTTTTTTTCCTCTCGTTTGCTCTGCTTCACAGGAGGTCCCAAGATTGCATTTTTGTCGATCCATCCAAGTCAGAATGACGCTTCTCTCCACGACGACGCCGGGAGCACCGAACGGACAGTCTTGAGGTCCCGAAGCCATTTGACGCGCTCGTAGCTATCCCCGGGCGCGTCGGCGTCGCGCAGCATGGATCGCACCAGCGACGCCGTGACGCGCCAGGAGCAGAAGAGGAAGATCCAGCCCAGTACCACCAGCCCCCACGCGAAGAAATCCTCCGCCGCCACCAATCCATCGCCGTCCTCGTCGCCCATCATCTCCAAGACGACGCTCTCCATCTCCGCCATTTGGGATTTCTTCTCTCCCTTCCTCGTCCCATGCCAACACGTTGCCTGGACAAAATTTAGGGCACACGCGGCACACAGCATATTCTGGGACGGGAGGGATATTCTAGAATATGCTTCTGTGCCGAGGCATATTCGGGGAGGCCTTTTAAAAAGCAGTTTCTAGAATATACTTTATGGCGGGGCATATTCGTATTTTTGACTTTTTCATTTCTTTTGTTAAAGGTTTTTGTTGCTCATAGAGTCCACGCTCCTTTTTGTGCGATTTTGAATCATTGCATCGATCTTGACGAGAATGCAATGCATTTGGGTGGACGCAAGAGAAAAAGAGGCGAAGAAATTGATAGAGATTTATTGGTGGTCCAAGTTTTTTTCTGGTTTTTTTTTTTCTAGCCTTTGATAGAGCTCTTGCTACAAGGCATTTCTAGTGGCGCTTCATGGTTCCGGAATCTCCATTATTGGGGCAGGGGGGGAGGACTTTCTCAAATCGAGACTCAGCTTGGCTTTTTGACAATGGGGAAGAGCGCAAAATCTCTACACAAAATCAAAAGATTCGCACCGGATCAAAGCATCCAAGACTCTCTCCCCCTTCTTGGCATATGCGGCGAATCGCGCGGGGGACTTTTCCTCCCTCCCATTGTTCGTTATGATTGTTCCCCGGGACACAATGGGCGACCGCCACGTGTACGTCCGCCCGCGGGGCGATCGAGCTGTCAGATCCGGTGGACGGCCAGGATTCACTCTCCCGTGGATCCTCTTCTTTTTCGCGCCAGTATTTGATTGGGAAATGCACGATATGGACATTCGGGGCCACATTTTTTATTTCTTTTTCATGCATCCATCCTAGTGTTTAGAAATTAGGCGCTCTTTCGGTGGGCTCTAGGGATATTCCATGTCTCGCGTAGAAATTACTGTTCCAGCGATTGCCCACCCACAACACAACCTGTCAAGCCCTAAATTTAAAGACAAGCCTCCCAAACAAATGGGAAAGACCAGCCGGATTCCAAACGGGATATCAAATCCGGCTTTTAATACCGCTGTACTTGGGCACCATGGGCCGGCCGTACAAGTGGCCCAAACCGCGTGTGTGTGTGTTTTAGCTGCTGTGGGGTTTCCGCCCGTCCGCGTTCTTCCCAGGGAGAGAGTAAGCGATGATCAAGCTAGGGATTGCTCGTCCGCGGAGTGGCGCTGGCTGTAAATCCTTGCCAGGCGCCTCTTGTTTTGCCGGCATCGCGAGGTTTGCAGGAAATCTTGCGCGCTCGGGAAAATCCAGGTGCTAGAACACGCGGATTTCCAGTGCATGCGAGTAATGCAAGTTGTGGCGCCGGAAATTTCATGCTGGGAGGGAGGGATCGAGGAGCCAGTCCGGCGCTAGCGAGGAGCTTGGAGAGGGTTTCGTTTTTTCTTCTCGGCCGGCTTTAGATCTTTTGGGGGGGATTTTTGGATGACAGTCTCCGTGAGGATGATGAAGGTCATGAGATGGCCGCTGCGGTCGCTCATGACGAAAAAGTTCTATGTGACAATGGTGCTGCACGGGATGGACAAGCTGCTGGCGGCCGACGATTCGAAATTCGTGGTGGATGTCAAGTGGAAGGGGCCGAAACGATCGTTGGGGCCTCGTTTCCGGAGCGTGAAGAGGGAGCGAAGCGCCGAAGCTGCTGCTACCATGGACGGAGCGCTGGAGTGGGAGCAAGGATTTGACTGCGAGTGTACTCTGGCTCTTGCCAAGGAGAATGGGTTCTACCCATGGGACGTTTACCTGGTCGTGCGCAAGGTAAAGAAATCTTTGGTTTTTAATTCTCTCTCTCTCTCTCTCTCTCTTCTCTCTCGAGACTGACGATTCGAATTTTGTAGATCACTCTTAATGGGGCCAAGGCCAAGGCGTCAGTCTTTGGCTCGGGATATCTGAATCTTGGGGAGTTTGCTCCTCTAGCTGGGAGTGCACGACATAGAACGAAAGTTTCCATTTTGGGGGGCGAAAGTGAGGAAGCGATTGGTGTAAGTTTGTGCTTGTTAGGAAAAGCTTTGTCTCGTGCAGCCTAGCTGACAAGAGCTGTGCATGTCGCAGGTCACTTTGAGCTTTGAGGAAGTCCCGGAAGCTGTGGAGACCAACTTTAGGATCATGGCACCGGCGATCCCATGCATCTCGCTGTGGGAGAGGGATGACTTGGGGGATGGCGGAGATAAACCGATGCTGCGTACGAAGAAGTCGCGGGTGGAGGACGCTGCCATCGACATCAGAACAAGTGACGAGAGCTCGCAGGATTCCCCCGATCGCTTCGAATCCGATTCTGTTGACAACTTTGAGGACAGTGACGCTGTCGATGACGAGGAATTCACTTCTTTCCGCTATGGAAGAATCGCGGGGGCCAACCAGCTGATAGGAAAGAGCCACGATCAGAGGGCGTCGAATGACGAGGAAGTTTTGGTGTTCAATGGCGGGACAGCGCTAAAGCTGGCGGAGGAAACTTCATCGTCGGATTCAGACCAGGCGGCGTCTCAGTCGTCCATGAGAAGGATGTTGTCGTGGAGGAAGAGAAAGCTGAGCTTCCGATCCCCGCGGGCCAGGCGAGGCGAGCCACTTCTCAACAAGGCATACGGTGACAATGGAGGTGATGAAATCGACTGGGACCGAAGGCAAGCCGAGTCACCAGAAGAGTCTCTTGGAAGCATGGTAAGTGTGTTTCCTTTAATATCTCCTTTTTCTTTTCTATCTGTTTCACGTGCTAACATGTGAACCTTCTTCCAGCTCCGACTAAACAACGAGAAGAAGACGGCCATCGAAGGAACCTGGGATTTTGGCGAGACGTTTCAAGTAGGCAGCTGGGAAGCGAAAGAGCTGACGAGCCGAGACGGGCAGATGATGCTCTCGGCCAGCGTCTTCTTTGCGTCCATCGATCAGAGAAGCGAGAGCGCAGCCGGCGAAAGCGCGTGCACCGCTCTGGTTGCCGTTATAGCCGACTGGCTCCACAGGTTCCCGGCGTTCATGCCAAGCCGAGCCGAGTTTGATCTGCTGATACGCGAAGGCTCGGCCGAGTGGAGGAAGCTGTGCCAGGACGCCACCTACAAGGACCGCTTCCCGGATGGGCATTTTGATCTGGAGACCGTGATCGAGGCGGCGGTCCGGCCGCTGACGGTCGTCCCGGAGAAGTCGTTCGTGGGGTTCTTCCGGCCGGAAGGGCTGGGGGAGTCGAGCGAGTTCCTCGAGGGGGCCATGTCCTTCGACAACATCTGGGACGAGGTGGAGCGGTCCGGGCCGGCGGTGTACATTGTCAGCTGGAACGACCACTTCTTCGTCGTCAAAGTTGACGAGCAGAGCGTGCACATCATCGACACGCTGGGGGAGCGGCTGTTCGAGGGGTGCGATCAGGCGTACGTTCTCAAGTTCAACGAGGCAGCGCGGCTGTCCTTTGTGCCACCGGCGGAGGCAGCGGCTCCAAAACAGGAGCAAGGAAGTAGCAGCGGCAGTGGCAGCGACAGAGAGAGCGACGATGGAAAGAAAGAAGAGGCAGCAGCAGCAGCAGCAGCAGCAAAGAAGGATGATTCTCAAAAGGAGTCCGAGGAAGCAAAGCAGGAAGAACAGGCTAGCGAGGAAGCGGAGAATAGCGAGAGGAAGATGAGGGAGTTCTCCGGAAGGAACGCGTGCAAGGAGTTTGTCAAAGGCTTTCTGGCGGCGATTCCACTGGGGCAATTGCAGAGCGACGTGAAAAAGGGGCTGGTTGGAAAGGACCATCTCCACCGGCGGCTGCAAATCGAG